GCCTCTGGCCCAGGACAGAGCTGACGCTCACAGGCTGAGCCCTCGGATTCATCTTCCTGGCAGGCTTTCCTAAACACAAGGCAGATGCAGCTCCGGCGGAGGACACGGCCAACTTGAACCGCCTGCCCTCCTCGCTCGCTTCAGGGCGTTGCCTGTGAGGGGCATCGTTCCGGAGACAGCCGAGGAGCTCCTGGCTGGACTCGAGACGATGCCTCACCGAGGTCCTAAACTACTTCGCAGAGCCGAGCCGGATGGAGGCCACTGCTGGAGAGTTAGCGCTCAGTGGGGGCTTGCTGAGAGTGCTCCAGGCCTTCGGGAACTCCGATTCAAATCTCAGCTGCATCTCAACTGAGCCATGTACCCTCACGGTCTCGGTTCATTCTCTGCAGAGTCAAGCTGCAGCCCAGGCTCGGGGCAATGCTCAGACATCTGACGTGCCTCTCAGCTGGCCCTGGGCCGGGTCCCCTCGCAGCTCCGCGCCCTGCTATCTGGTGTGCTCTCCCGCTGTCTTGGAGCCTTATCTTGTTTGTGGTCGTGTGGTCGGTTTTGCAATTGCAGCAGAGAACAGAACCTTCCAGGGAGCCTTCCTGCCGTGTGGCAGTGTGCCGTGGGTATTTCATGCTATTGCTAAGAGGCCGGGGTGGGGATGGTTGGGCCAGAAAGTCCAGGAGGGCTTCTGGAAATGCTGTTTGCACAATGTACATGTGTACACACACTCCATGTGTATACGTGTACACAGACACCAGCCCATCCATGTGTCGTGTACATGTGTACATACGTTCCATGAGTATCTATGCACATAGACATAGCCCACCTGTGTGTCATGTATATGTGCACACACAGACACCAGCCCATCCATGTTTCTGTACACGTGCACACATGCTCCATGTGTATACGTGTACACAGAAACCAGGCCGTCCATGTGTCGTGTACATGCGCACACACAGTTGGCCCTCGGCATCCATGTGCGATTGGTCCCAGGACACCTGCAGTATGGAGCCCGCCAACACGAAGGCCGCCGTGTACGTGTACCGTTCTGGTATAGAACCGCGCACGCCTGCACTTCAGCTGACCCAGGGTCCCGCCAGGCCTGGCTCGGTGTGAGTGCCGGGTGAGGAGCTGCTGTCTCGTACTGTCCAGAGATAACAACGGGGCAAGTCTGTGTGCTCAGCACAGCCCGACCACTATGGGCCCAGCTACCTGGCACCTGACGGCACCTGCTGGCTGTCACCCGCGGTCGTCGAGTCCGTGGAGGGCTGACTGTGTACCCATGAATGACACCCGACGGCACCTGCTGGCTGTCACCCGCGGTCGTCGAGTCCGTGGAGGGCTGACTGTGTACCCATGAATGACACCCGACGGCACCTGCTGGCTGTCACCCGCGGTCGTCGAGTCCGTGGAGGGCTGACTGTGTACCCATGAATGACACCCGACGGCACCTGCTGGCTGTCACCCGCGGTCGTCGAGTCCGTGGAGGGCTGACTGTGTACCCATGAATGACACCCGTGTCTATGCTTCCAAAGTCACGTGACTGGCACCATTAGAGAGACTCTGTGCAGCTCTCCTCACTCGCCGCCGTCGTCTGAGAGGCATTTATGCTGACGTGTGGCCCTGCCCCTCCTGTCCCAGCACACGGCGCTCCCCTGGCCCCCATCCCCTCCCTGGTGGCCACCTGAGTCATGCCCACTGGCCGGGTTTTAAGCTCATCGGGTCACAGAGGCGCTCTGAGCCGCTGGAGGTTCTCCGCCCCTCCGTGAGACCAGCGTCTGTGAGCTGACGCCAGCAAGGCGCTCAGCCGTCTCCCTCCAGCGTCAGCGTTTCAGGTCTCCCTGCGCCTGACCTGCTGCGGCCGGCAGTGTGCGCACATGCCAGTGACTGGCGTGAGAGAGGAGAGGGGACCCTGAGAATTCCGCATTCCTGGTTGAGTCCCAGCAGGACAGCTCCATAAACAGAGCTCTCCTCCCCAGGGCCCTGGCCCAGCCTCCTGAGCACATCCCGGGGGCTGCAGGACAGGCCCGCCTCTCCTCCACCCAGCGTTATTTTTATCCGAAGCGCAGGCTCGGTCAGGACCCTGGAGAGTTTCCAGGGGTCGGCGATGAGAACGGCAGCCTTCTCTAGGTCCTTGGCTGGCTCTCCCCCTCCCGGTGCCAAGGCCTCTGCTCTCTCTCTTCCCACCCAGCCATGCACCCCCACCCCTGTCTTGCCCTTGATGACCCCTCCCTGGGCTGCCGTCTGTGGTCCCACACAACTGCACAGGTGACAACCTGGTGGTTGCACTGTGGGCAAAGACTGGAAAGGACTTTTCAAAGGACTGGGTCTCTTAGTTGCGGTTGGGTCAGCCTTGAGGCACAGCCACCACTGTCCCCATCCAGGCTGAATTCTGGAGCCCCTTCCTCAGTCCCTGAGACCCCTGCACCATCTTTGTCAGCCTGCTCCTGCCGTGTAGGCACCGCGGGTGGGCTTCCCCATCCGCCTGTGCGACCCTGCCACCAGCTCCTGGAAGGCGGGGCAGCGTCCTCATCCTCTTGTGTCGCTAGTTTCTATCCCAGCCTCCGGAAAGCAGGGGCTCCCTCAGGGGCGGGGGTGGCAGTGAGTCCTGTGGAGTAGGGCAGTGAGGGCGTAAATGGACACCCTCGCATGCCCTCCGCTGCTGTCGCTGTCGCTGTCGGCCAGGAGGAGGAGGTCTGTGGCTTGTGACCCTTTAATGAGCTGAAGCGTTTGGCCCCAGGGCGATCAGTCCTGTGCCTGCTGGAAAACCCCAGGACCTCAGAGCCGTCAGGGTGAGGCTGTGTCTCCACTTGCTGGAATGTGCTTTGGGCTGGCCTTGGGACCACTCTGAGCCTAGTTCCCTCATCTGTAAGACGGGGGTGCCATCAGTCGGATCTCGGTTGGTCCATCTGAGATAAGGTGATCAGCCCACCTAGGCGTGCGAAGGGCTCTCGGAGGGACCAAAGGCGTGGCAGAAATGCACCTAAGAAATTGGTGAACGTCTGTAACTTTGAAAAACTGTGGAAACGAAAGTTAGGGAGTTTTTGGTTTTAATTTGCCAGAGGTGCGCTCACCAGAGGTAGATGGAGGAGGCAGCCAGAGAGCACCCCGTGGAGCATGGCCACGCCCTTTCCCTTCTCTGTCTCTCCCTCCTTCTGGAATGTTTGGACGCACACGCACTTGAGCTCAAAGTGTTTTTCAAGCCGCCAGGTCCGGACTCCAACCATACACTCAGTCACGGGGACCCAGCCCGCCGTACCCACCTCCACAGGCTGGCCCGGGAGCTGCTTTGATTGCACTTGTGTTTGGGGCTTCTTTGGTTTTTGTTTTCTTTTGTTTGTTAGAGAGTGTGTAGGTACACCAGAGACAGGTAGTGGGGTGTGGTCGTGCTGCAATCCCTTTCCCTCTGTTTTTCCTTCCGTCAGAATTTTGGGCACACACACACGTGCCCCAGGGCCTGCATTGCAACTCAGCTGACCTGTGGGATAGCGCCCTGTGGACGGCCCTTCCCCACAGTGCCCTGGGCCAGCCCTGCTCAGCAGCACAGCAGGAAGGGGACCCTGGATCTGTTAGAGTCTGCTCAGAGAGAAGAGGACTTCCAGACACAGCCAAGTTTATTGGAGTTGACTAAGCAGACGGCGTATGGGGGACTCATGTCTCTCAAAACCCCGCAGCCCTGAGTGGAAGGAGAGGGGCACTTACAAAGGCAAAGCTCAGAGTCAGTTTTGGGCTAATGTGATTACGATGGAAATGAGGGGGTGAGGAGGAAGGGGGTTCCCATGTGAAGCAGTTATGGAAGCTGAGCCAAGCAGGTTCACTATATCTGAGGGTGCTCTCAGACCTTTGTGTAATGGTCCCCATGGCTCTGGGCGGGGGTCTGGGGATGGTCAGTACATTGCTGAGGAACAGCTAAACAAAAGGTTTCAGGCTAGCAAAGACAATCAGACTATTTTTTTAAAGAATTATCTTATTTAACTTTATTAATTTATTAATTTAAATTTGACCAGAAAGGGACAGAGAGAGAGAGGGAAATTGAGAAAGCAAGCTGCCAGGTCAGGGTCTCGAACCAGGGTCAGCCATGTGGGAGTCCAGCATCCTTTACTGCCACGCCACCTGCTGGCCCCGACAGTCAGACTATTAATCACTCTGCTCTGGGCAGGAGGAAGCAATTACACAGTAAAGTTCAAAGATGGAGGTGCTTCTGCTTCAGCTCTCCGAGCCGGGTGTTCCAGCCCACGTTACAGGGAACCGTGGGGCGTGTCAGGGCTGGGGCTCCAGGACCCCTCTGGAAAAATTCTGGGAAATTAGCTCATATCTGTCTGGCCCTGCTGATAACAGGTACCCATGCAGATGTGGTGTGGGCGCGCTTACCCCAAGTGAGTGCTAAACCGCAGCCAGCAGGTATCCCAGGCCACTGAGGCAGACCCCAGGGGTGTCGGGGGCTGGGGTGCGGCTCTGGCACCTCCCCTCTTTCCACTCTATTAAATCAGCTTGGGGCACTTTTCAAAGCTGCTCAGGGTCCTTGGCTGGGTTCTGGGTAATGTGTGAGGGGCTTGTGGGTAGTGCCTGGTGGTAGGCCACGGAGGAGGGGCTGTGCGGTCATCGGTGGAGGCCAGGCCACCACTTTCGGTGACATGAGCCCAACTTCAGAGGGACCGGCAAGTTTGCTGCCCACGCGGCCCGCCGCAGCACGTCCTGCCGTGGTAGGAAGTGACTGTCCCCTGGGGCGGGAGGCAGCGTGTACACATGCACAGAGTCCGCTCCTCGACCTGGGAGAGCAGGCAGTGACTCTGGGCGAGCACCCGGGCAGGAGAACCGGCCGGAGCGACCAGCCTGGATTCCGGTTCCGCCCGGCTGTTCACTGTGCTGGGCACCCCCGGCTGAGCCCCAGCTGCACACTCCCACCTGTGGGCCGTGAGCCTGTTTCCACATCTGCAGGAGGGAGTCGTGGCCGCTGGGTTCAGAGCAGCTGGTCCATGCCAACCTGCCCTCCCCGCCCTGCTTCCTCTCAGAGCCCTGCGCCCAGCTCTGCCCCAGCAGGCCCCGCTGTCCTGTCACCCCGCCGTCCCTGCCGGCCGGAGCCATGCGCTGTGTCCTGAGCGGTGCCACCCCCCTGGGGCTGCTGTGGCTGGTCTGCAGCGCCCAGGGCCTCTTCCTGCCCAACGTCACCCGCCTGGAGGAGCTGCTGGGCCGCTACCGGCAGGAGGAGCC